CACCACAAAAGTAAATAAATAAGTAAAAATAAAAAATAAAATAGCTAGACAAACTTTTTTTTAAAAAGACCCAAAAAACAAATTTTGGTGACTAAACACAAGCAGCTCCTTTTTGCTCATGTCATAGTCCAAGGCAGTCGGGAGGCTCTCCTCGTAGCCTCCTCCAGCTGTGACCCATGTACCCCGGCAGCTTCCATTTTGAAAATTCTGTTTCTAGCCAAATGGAAAGACAAGAGAGTGGTCAGTCATGGCAGTGAGATTTACTGCCAGCCAGGAAGCTGAATATATCACTTGTCCCCACATTTCATTGGCCAGAACCCAATCACACGGCCTCCCAAACAAACTGCAAGAGAGGCCTGAGAATGTACAACAGTACTAAGAATCTCTGCCACATCTCTGTCCCCTTGCCTAAGCAAACTATAAAACTATAAAACCTAAAACACTGCTTGTCTCTTCACATATCTGTAAAAGAATTTAAGATGTAATCTGATCAAGGAACATGTCGCCATCGTTTTAAATATGGTTTTAATTCCATTTAGTACAGAACTTTAAATTTAAAAAAAATTTTTTGAATCAAATTATTTTCAAGTTTGCAAATACTATGTTTCCACAAATAGTCTTCAACTGCGGACAAATATTGTGGGTGATAAGGCAGCATATAATCAAATATAATTAAAATGTCTCCAATTATAAAGATTCCAGCTAAGTATGTCTTTTGGAATTATAGAGAATTAAACTATACCACTAACATATAATGTAAGAAAATGGTAGTTTGGCATCATTTATAAATGTAAATGTGTTCACAAGCATTCTAAATATTCAATGTACATACATACAGAAGAAATATAACCTTAAGACAGTGATTTTTATTACATTTAGTCTACCATGTCTAATACTATAAATATACTCATTAAAAAAAACAATATTTAAATAAGAATTAGATTCATGAAACTACAAAATATAACCAATGTACTCTGACTTGTAATTATATCTTACATATATCAACTTTACTTTTCTGGCATGGTCGGACCATTTAAAAATATCTCCATACTATTTAATTTTAGGATATAAAACAGTAGCAATCTGTTTTCCATTATAAAATTAATATGGCATTTCTCAAAATACTGAAAAAAACTGGTTTATGACAGCAGTACCCACATCACAGCAACTTATTTCCTTTGTTTTAGAACACATCTTCAAAAGGCACATTTTAATTACTGGTAATCCCCTAAAGACGGGAGTTTGAGTTTTGAATTTCCAGTCAATTTTCCATTATCTCAAAATCAAGCTAATGGAGGGTCAGAGAGGTAGGAGAACACGTGTTTCCAACAAACCCCATTAGGGCAGCAGTGTTCTCACTCATCACAAAGACCAAGAGAAAGATGGAAAGGAGGAGAGAACCGCACATCTGTCTTACATCCTAATTTAACCTTCAAGAAATACTTTCTACACAAAAATACTTCATTAAAAAAAAAAATTACAGGACAGTAAGTGCTTAAAAAACAAAAGGCCAAGACCACTAAATACCCGGTTTAGTCTGAGTGGTGATGTTATTGGTTTTGAGCATGAAGAAGAGAACAAGGCTTCTGCTTCTCTGGAATCACATCTTCATATCAGGCTCATTGCAGTTTAAATCACGTGATGAGTTAACAGTGCTACAAATTCCAAGAATGTCAGACATACTGATATTCAAAACAAAGTACAAAATAAATAAATTCCAAAATCAAATATAAACGATTCTATGGTTATTTGTGTCATGCTAATCATAACATCTATAATTTCAAGTACTACTATTATTTTTAAGAACTTATGACCTAGAACCCCAAAGTGCAATCTAATATACACTTTGGGGTATGGTTTACTTTTCAATGAAGTTTAATACTAATTGAAGTTTAGTACTAAATTGAACAAGATCAGTACTTTGAAGTATTAACTGATCAAGTACTTGATCTCATGCAAGAAACAAAGAGAATTTCTAAGGTTATTTTGGAATTTCAAAATATTGGTGATCTACTTTAATTTCCTGTTATTCCCCTCAAGTCTCAGTAAGTGTTTGCATTTTTTTTTTTAAGGGGAGATGTCTTTAGATTTTTTTCCCTCACTACAACAAAATAATTCACCAAAAATATTCTAAAGAAAATGGTCACCTGTTACTTAACCAAGATATAATTTTCTGGTCCCTAATAATGGCCATTTTGGGGGCACTTATCTCAAGTTCTAAAACAGCAGCTTTTAAAATTAAGGCAACATTATCTTATTTTTACCTGTTTTTCTATTAACTATTCTATTAAAGTTCATAAGAGCAGTTTTAGACCTTGGCACTCTCAAAGGCCTTTTGTAATGTAAGAAGAGTTAACATGAACATTCTTTTCAATGTCTAAAAAGTATATAAAAAGGTATTGTATTCAAAGTCAACAAATATCTTTTTACTTCAAATTGTAGAATAAGTACAGTCATTACAGCATGTGTAAACTGTGAAATTACCTTTTAAACTCAAAATAGCATAACATACAAATTTTCTACAAAAATACAATATAGGAAATATATCACCTCTTCCCTGAAATAGAAATTTAATATTTGGACAAAGGACTGTAAACTTTTGATTACATTCAAAGTATAACCTTTTAAAGACAAACTATTTGAGGTTTTGGCAACTGCAGCTCTTAACAGCAGATTTACATCACTGTAATGTTTTAAGAACACAATAATGCCAAACAATTTATTTCTCTTACACTTACATCTGCTACCAGGAGGAAAAAAACGGCTTCCTGCAATGGACAGTCTGAGTAAAGGAGTTGCTTAGGTGGACAATCCGACCCTGACCCCCACCTTGACTGCGTTCCACAATCACACAAGGCATTTGTACTAGCTGGACAGGACTCTTCCCATCTTTTAATGCCTGAGTAAGATTTAGGATCTGTAGAAAGAAGAGAAATTTTCACCAACAAAAAAAGCTTCACTTCACAGATATTATTTTAATCATTTATTCACTACAATTCTTATTTCTTCCACTTATGCTCAACAGAGTTTGTGATGAGGAGTAACTGCTATAAATATGTATTATATGGATGTATGTAAGTTTATACCTATACCCCCCCACACACAAATGTACAAAATTAAAATGATGTAACTTTTGCCAATTAGTAACTTTAAGGTATTCTGCAATGCACTCCTGTCCAGGAGCCACGGGATGAAAACTGAATAAAGTGAAGGGTTATACATGTTCCATCTGACATAGAACCTAAACAAATACTGATCTAAATAGTCTGGCTTTAACTAAATAGTTGCCTTATCCACTCATTCAATAAATAAATATACTGCATGCCTAGTATGTACTAGGCTCTGTTCTAAGAGCTGGGGATATAACAGCTAAAAAAAACAAACAAAATTCCAGCCTTCATGGAGCTTACATTTTAGCAGGAAGAGAAGCCAATTGACACAACTAAGTAAATTATACCACATATGAGGGTACTTCAAAAAGTTCATGAAACAATTCATATTACCTCTTAATTCTATTTTTCCACCAATTTTTTGAAGTACCTGTATTAGAAGGTGAAAGTGCTAAGTAAAAGCATGAAGCAAGGCGAGTGGGTTCGAGAATTTGGGAAGGCAGCCATTTAAAATAAAGTTTTATTTAAGAGATTCTCTTAAATAGGGAAATAAAAATAGGAAAAGTAAAATATATTGTATTCCATGGTCAAAGAAGAAATTTCTACTTGAGTATACAAATAAGGTTATGAAATTCAATGCATAGCTTACAGCCTATTTTACTCTTTATTCAGATAAAATTAAAAATTTCAATAATACATTTTTTTCCATGCATATCAGGAAAAATTCCCTTTATTATGTAATTTAGAAATTCAGATGTCTCCTTCAAGTATCTGAAAATATCTAATATGCACATGCTATATATTTCACTGGTTTTTGTAAAGACTAGTTAATACTGATAAGCATAAAAGTTTCAATACAAAGTCATACTAATAAGTAAATTTGATAATATTTTGAATAGTATAAACCAGATGGTTTAGATCATAGAAGATTTGGAATATTTAACACATCAGGGTAATAAATCTTTATTAGCCAGGTCCACTTACTGGCCAGCCACCAAAAAAAAAAAATCTTTACTAGCAACAATAGTTACAGATAATATTATTCTTCTCCAGATGAAGAAGAGGGAAAAGGCATGCCTTGAGAGACAGCACAGTGCATAAGGGCACCACTGGTAAATGGGAGGACGAGCAGTTCAGAGTCACTAAGCTCAGGGAAAGTGGCAATGGCAAGAGATCAAGCAGGTGCCTGGTTAGAGCCAGAACATGAAGGATCTTGTTGACTCAAGCCAGTACACATGGACAAATCACGGGAGTTCCAAATCACAAAGGAGCTGATCATATTTGTTTTTAGAGAGATTGCTCTCATCTTAATGTAGAAGAGGGATGGGAGAAGAGGTAAGGACACCACCTAAATTGTCAATAAATCCATGACAAGATAATAAGGGCTCCTGCAGAGACAATGCCTAAATGGTACAGATTTGCCAGGCTATGACAGAATGCCATATTTCACAGACGCAACATGTTACTTAATCCCTTTGAGCCAACTTTCTTCCACATATAATGCAGATAACTATGTAGAGTTATTGTAAGAATAAACAATAACAAACACAAAAATATCCAGTAAAGGGTAAAGTACTCAGTAGGCACTAAAGTGTTAGTTCCAAAGCATTTGACAAAATTCAACATCCCTTCATGATAAAGACTCTCAGCAAATTGGGTATAGAAGGAAAAAACTCAACACAATAAAAGCCATATACAACAAACTCATAGCCAACATCATCCTGAATGGGAAAAACTAAAAGCTTTTCATTTAAGAACAGGAACAAGACAAGGATGCCCCCTCTCACCATTCCTATTTAACACAGTACTGGAAATATTAGCCAAAGCAATCAGGCAAGAGAAAGAAATAAAAGGCATCCAAATTGGAAAAGATGATGTCAAAGAGTTCCTGTTTGTGATGACATGATCCTATATATAGAAAAACCTAAAAAATCAACCAAAAAATTCTTAGAGTTGATAAACAGTTTCAGTAAAGATGAAGGATACAAAATTAACATGCAAAAGTCAGTAACATTTTTATATTCCAACAATGAACTAGCAGAAAAAGAAATCAAGAAAGCTAGCCCATTTATAATAGTCATGAAAAAAATAAAACCCCTAGTAATAAATTTAACCAAGGAGGTGAAAGATCTCTATGAGAACTACAAATCACTGCTGAAAGAAATTAAAAAGGACACAAAACAATGGAAAGACATTCCATGCCCATGGATAGGAAGAATTAACATTGTGAAAATATCCATACTACACAAAGTGATCTATAGATTCCATGCAATCACCATCAAAATACCAATGACATTCTTCACAGGAATAGAAAAAACAATCCTAACATTGATATGAAACAACAAGAGACTTCAAATAGCCAAAATAATCCTGAGCAAAAAAAAAAAAAAAAAAAAAAAAAAAAAAAGCCTGAGGCATTACACTATCTGACTTTAAATTATACTACAAAACTATAGTAACCAAGGCAGCATGGTACTGGCATAAAAAGAGACACATGGACCAATGGAACACAATAGAGAACCCAGAAATCAACCCACCTACTTACAGCCAACTGATCTTTGACAAAGGCATCAAGAACATATATTGGGGAAAAGACAACCTCTTCAATAAATGGTGCTGGGAAAACTAGACATCCATGTGTAGAAGAATGAAACTAGGCCTGTACTTCTTGCCACGTACCAAAATCAACTCAAAATGGATTGAAGATTTAAATATAAAACCTGAAACTATAAAACTCCTGGAGGAAAATAGGGGAAACACTTCAGCATGTAGGACTAGGCTAAGACTTTACGAATAAGTCCTCAAAAGCACAAGCAACAAAAGAAAAAATAAACAAATGGGATTATATGAAACAAAAAAGCTTCTACACAGCAAAGAAAACAATCATCAAACTAAAAACACAACATACAGAATGGGAGAAAATACTTGCAAACTATGCATCTGACAAGGGATTAATATCAAGAATATACAAGGAACTCAAACAACTTAACAGCAAAAAACCCCAAATAATCCAATTAAAAAATGGGCAAAGGAGCTGAATAGACACTTCTCAAAGAAAGACATACAGCTGGCCCACAGACACATGAAAAATGCTCAACATCACTAAGCATCAGGGAAGTGCAAACCAAAACTACATTGAGATGATATCTCATTCCAGTTAGACTGGCTATTATCAAAAAGAGACTAACAAATGCTGGCAAGGATGCAGAGAAAGGGGAATCTGTAAATTAGTACAGCCATTACAAAAAACAGTATGCAGGTTTCTCAAACAATTATAGATAGATCTACCATATGATCCAGCAATCCCACTTCTGGATATATACCCAAAGGAATGGAAATCATCATGTCGAAGGGATACTTGCACTCCCATGTTTATTGTAGCTTTACTTACAATAGCCAAGAGATGGAACCAACCTAAATTTTCATTGACAAATGACTGGTTAAGGAAAATGTGGTATATATATACACAATAGAATAATATTCAGCCATAAAGAAAGAATGGAATTCTGCCACTTGCAGCAACATAGATGAGCTTGGAGAAAATTTATGTTAAGTGAAATAAGCCAGGCACAGAAAGAGAAATACTGCATGTCCTCACTCATGAGTGGAAGCTAAAAAAAAAAAAAACAAATAAAAAAGAAAGAAAAGAAAACAATCATAATAATATGCTGAAGTTTCAAAAGGAAAGAACAGAACTGTGGTTACTAGAGATTTGGGGAAAGGCGGAGAAGGAGGGGAAGTTAGTGAGAAATTAGTAAAGGGTCACAAAGAATGACTACATTTTGTAATGCTGAATATACAAATTATCTTGATTTGATAATCACATATTGTACATAGGTATTGATATTCGACTATGTACCTCACAAATATGTATAATCAATAATGTTTCAATAAATAATAAAAAACAAAACTGGGAAAAAATTAAAGGGTTAGTTTCATTATTTTTAAAATCAATTATTTAATCTGCAAATAAGCTTCTGATTTATAAACTGTTGAATACAAGTTCACTGTGTTTTTATAGAACAGTTTTATTGACTATTTATTTCTGCCATTTTTTAGAGCATGTGGAAAATATATTTCGCATTTCCCATAAGTAAATATATTCTGGGGTTGAATGTTCCAAATAGGCACAGGTGGAACATAAAATGATTTTTTTTTAACCTGATTATGACCTACTGCTATTTTTAGCCTTCACTCCAGTAAAGCACTGCATAAATGTGATGGCGCACAGAGATGTATTAGCTAATAATCTGTTCCTTTTCACTGACCCCTGGCCACCTCGGCAGAGCAATTTAACTTTCATAAACATTACCAGTGCCAAATATTAAAAGAAATACCTTCATACCAGTTCCAGCTACATGTATACGTGAAGAATTAGAGCATGTCACTGATTATGTGGGTAAAACTAAATGCTTCCTACAAACTAGGGCAAAAGGCTTGGTTATACAAAGTACAAATCATCAAATTAATAAGCAAAAATGGAGGGAAGAGGGATCTAAGGGATATTTATGAGGGAAGACATAAGTATTTTGACTCAAATAATGAACTGGCTGAAATGATCATTCTGCTGTTTGGAATACAGGTTACTGTTATTTGTTTTTGTTTTTTAAGCCTCTGGTTCATAAGTGCTGATTTACTACAGGATACAGAATAATACCTGATTTTTTAGACCAGATTTTAAAAAAAGAAAAAAAAAAAAAACCAGCTAAAATCAGAGAACTACACAATCATGTACATGGCTAGGGTATATTATTCCATGAGAGAAGGAACTTGATTTTGCTCATTGCTTTATCTCCAGTAACAAGAACAGTTTCTGACACTAGTTCTGTCAATAAATATTTGGTGACTGAATGAATGATTATCTGATTTAATTACATCTACTTGTTAAAGTTATATAACAGAAGAATCAGTGCAAAAACCTGACTCCTCTTCTTTCTTCTTTGCCACAGGCATGGCAGCACACAGCTACCGTAAACTAAATGTATATTTTAGAAAGAGTACATTGTCACTAAAAGACAATGTTTATAGCGTAATTTATTTTCATTTCAAGTCTTCCTTTTGGAATCTAAATACATTGATGGTGTGGAAGAAGCAGACTCATCTGTGAGCCAGCCCAGCCTGCAGGTTCACACCAGCAGGACTAATATCTCATATCTCTAATTAAAGCAGATGAGGAGAACAAGAGCGGAGAGGACTGAGTTACAATTAGTTCCTTACCACCCCAAACACTGCTTAACCTTGGTGACTGGCTGTTCTCGCAAAGGCCAAACATATTTTGAAAGGAAAATAATCTACTGGCAACTGAACTTGGTATTGAAATGTCCAAGCAAGTAGATTTGCAGAGGAAAAAGGTACTAATGCTCAGGAAAACAACTATCAAAATGGGGACAAAAAACTCAAAGCAGGGAGAAACAACTGGCTAAACACACAATATATAACAAGGTCAACCAGTTTATAAGACAACAGAGAAAAGATACTATTAAAATCAACTTCATTTCTAATCACCTGCGCTATTTTGGTTCAGCACAACAGGCAGTATTAAGAATTCCACCTCCGGGTCACAGTGTAGAAAAAAGTTGACTACTGTTTCAAAGAAATTTTTTTTCTTAATGAACAAGATCATAAAAAGGTAACCTACCTGACCCCTCATGACAGACATCTGACTTTCAAAAGTGGCTTTATTAAATCTTCTATCAGTCTATCACAGAAGGGAAAAAAACATTATTATAATTCCAAAAATCAAGATCTTTGAAACAAATAGTTGAAGACAAATGAACTTCAACATTGCAAAATAAGGCTATTAGAAAGCTTTCCTAAATGATAAATTAACACAAAAGGAGTATTTTTACCTGATGTATTTTTGTATCCCAGAATGACAAGAACAGTTGTACTTATTTATACTAACTTGTTCCAGAAAGGATTTAAAATAACTTTCCAGCCAATGAGTTTAGGCTTTTAAAAAGAAGTAAATCATAGCAGGTCACCAAACATGTATTGTAATTTATAGAGTAGTTTTGTAAAAAGTCAACTTTTGGAGAAAACAATTCTCAAATTTTAATGTAGTCTCACTCAAAGAATACTCATAGTAACTGTAACTTTACAAATTTATGTTCCTGTAAAATAAAATTGTTAAATCTTTTCTGTTCTGTCAGGTTCTACTGTAAGCAGCGATATAAAGTAGTAAATTGCAAATCAGCTCTATTACAAAAATGTCTTCTGTTTTAAGATTTATTTTTTTCTGCAATAACCAAAACTAAATATTTATTTACCTTAAAAAGTTCATAAAGATCTTCACATAAATCTTGCACAAAGTTCATGTCAGAAATATATGGTAGAATCAAGTTTCTTATTTCATCAGAAAAAGGAACTTTTGCTTGAGGAAGCCAAGCCCAGTGAAATGGATCTAATAGAAAAAAGTATATTTTTCTAGTCAGTGAGAGGAAATGATTTATTTAGACTCACATTTATCCTGGTTCTTTCCCACAACTCCTAGGTTCTCTCAGGAAAAGTACAGGAGAAAGAACTTATCAGAGGAGAACTATCCTTTGCAACTCAGATTATTTAGATTCTGTCTTTGGATAGCCAATTCAGATGGTAAATCATAGTAAGATTTTATCTGAACTAGTTACATTTCCAAGTTTTAGACAGTAAAGAGTAAAAGGATGGATTATAACTCTGTCTCAAATAGACCTATCTCAAAAAATATATCTGACTCTACCTGGTTCCTGAGTTTAGAAATTGATGGATAACTATAATTGGTCCACAGCCCCCAGACTGGATACCATGGCTGGGACCTTTCTGCCCTTCACAGCTACAAATCAGAAACTGACCACTCACTTGTACAAAAATGTTCTAAAATTTTAAATCATTAGGAAGTGAACAGATGAGTGGCTATAAAAAATAAAAGATCCAGGATTCTGGGATAACTCTAGTTCTCCCCCAAGAACACCATTAAATCTACACAGTCAGGACTAGAATGATTTGTATACTCATGGAATCTTCTAGAGAAGGTGTACATTCAGATTTCTGCAGGAGATGGCCCACCAGCCACTCGAGTGCATTGACACAAGGAGAGTCACCAGTGGAGACCAAAGAAAAGATGAGGATGTCTCTCTCCACAAAGCCCACTCCAGAGTGATAGAAGAAGCATCTGCTCTCCGATAACAGTGGAGGACCTGAACACACCTCTCAGCACTGGACAGATCATCTATGCAACAAATCAACAGAGTAACTGTTACTCTTTCAGAAGGAGAGAAGAAATCTAGGGTTATCAGAGGTGGGAGGGGGGAGAGAAAGGGGATGGGGAGAGATTGGATAAAGGGCATAAAGAATAAGTATGATTTGTAATAATATATATGCTGGGCTGGCCTGTGGCTCACTCGGGAGAGTGCGGTGCTGATAATACCAAGGCCACAGGTTCGTATCCCATATAGGGATGGCTGGTTAGCTCACTGGGTGAGCGTGGTGCTGACAACACCAAGTCAAGGGTTAAGATCTTTTTTTTAAAGATGACCTTACCGGTCATCTTTAAAAAAAAATAATAATAATAATATATATGCTAATAATATTGATTTGATCAACATACATCAACTTTGAAGCCCTAAAATATGTATAATCAATTATGATTCGATTAAAAAAAGAGAGAGAAAGAAAAAAAAGATTCCTGCAGGAAAGTATAAGGTTATGACAATATGATCACGCACAGAGCCACTGTGGTGGGTGCATCCAATGAGAATCCCCAGCTCTGGTGGATCCTGCTGCTTAGAAAGCCCTAAAGAAGAAATCTGTCTTCGGAGTCGCTCCTTCTCACTTCTCTTTTATCTATCTCTTTGCACACTGGAGGAAGTACACTGCCAGTTCTAAAGAAAGCCTCTCCTCTGGCCTACATCTCTTTGCAGCTATGTCCTTTCTACCTTTTCTGAACAATTTCATAAAAGAAAAGCCCTTATTCTTTGCCTCTCTCTACTTCTGATCCTTCTCCCTCAACTTCTACTATCACTATCCAAACTCCCTCCCCTGAGACCACCAGTCATCTCGTAAGGGTCTCCCCAGCAGCCCATTTGCAGTCCTCATGCTACTTAATCTCTGTGTGGCAAGCAGCACTGTTTTCTATCATCTCTTTTATGAAATTCTCTCTTCTGTGGCTTTGGAGATACCACTCTCTCAAAGTTTACTTACTGTGTTTTAAGCCACTCCTGCCACTCCTCCTACCTTCTGCTAGCTTTTCCTCCCCTTTCAACATCAGTGTTCTCTCAGATTCTATACTTAGTCCTTGTTCTCCATTTGTTAAGCATTCATGAAACACTTATTGAGTACTCATGTGCCTGGTACTAGGTGACAGTATTTGTTCTCCATGATATCCCCAGGTGACAGCAAAGGCCACCAGGGCTTCCACTATCAAGATGACAGTTCAAACAATCCTCAATATCAATTTCTCCTTCAAGCTCCAGATCCTTAATCCCTGTCTGTGTGTTTGGTAAAATTTCCCAGATGTATTGCGGGTACCTTAAACTTAACTCTTTTAAAGTGCAATTTGCATACAGGTTCCAAACCATAAGGGGGAAAAGTAAAGTATAACCAAGACATCTCAAATCAGTTCAACAAAAGATAGGAAAGGCAAAAAGGAACAAATTGGAATTCATGGTAAACAGAAAAAAATAAGATGGCAAGAAATGTTCCAACATACCAGTAGTTTATTGAAACTTAAAACTAGAGTTAAATACACCTCTTAAAAGACTCAGATTGGCTTTTAAAAAATCTAGCTAAGTGTTGTTTATTTTATAAGTCATATACCAAAAACAAAACAATGGAGGGAAAAATAAAAGTATTGAATAATACCAGGTAAATGCTAACGAAAAGAAAGGAAGTATAGCAATGTTACAACAGATTAAGAAAAGCAAAAAAAACATTGAGAGGAATAAAGTGAGATATATTCCACACTGAAAAAAGAACAGGCCATCAGGAAGATAAACCACTTGACCTTTAAGTATGTGAAATACAAAGCAAAAGATGCATAGAAATGCAAGAAGAAACTGACAAAATCACAATCACAGTGATCTTTAATTTCCTTTCAAAAATTAGCAGATCAATTGACCAAAAAATAAGTCAAGGATATGACATGTAACAACTAACAAGTGTTAATTAGTAGACAGATACAGAACACTGCACTCAAACATTCTTTTCAAATACAGTCCTCCAAATTGGCCATACATAAAATCATAAAGAAATTACTAACAATATTTTCGAATGGCTAGAGGAGTTCAAATGTTCTCATCACAATGAAATGACAAATGTTTGTGGTGATGGATATGCTAATTAGCCTGATTTGATCACAGTGTATAAATGGATATAAATATTATTCTGTACCCCATAAGTATGTACAACTATTATATGTCAGTTTTTTAAAAAGATTTATAAAGTTAATAAAACAGTAAAGAGAAAAAAAAAAAAGCATCCCCCCAAAATTACTAACAAATCGCCAAAAAACAGAATTTACACAGGCCATATTAATAGATCACAATAGAATAAATATTAGAAGATAACAATATTGCATAGTTTAAAAAAAAATAGCAACAATGAACAATAATTAAAAAACATCAGCTCACCTAGAAATTTAAAAATCAAACAAAATACTTCTAAATTATTCTTGTTGAAAAGAAAACCAGAAAGTATGAATATGTAAAGCAAAACAATAGAGCAGCACTTATACAGTTTGTGGTTTTAGCCAAAATAATACCCGGACGAAAATATGTAGCTTAATGTGCATCTATAGGAAAATGTTATAGGATTAACATAATAGAAGAAAATGATAGAAAACATAAATCAATGAAAAATAAAAGCAAAGTCTGATCAATGAAATAAGCCAATTATCTGAAAAAAGCATAAATAAATAAACAAATAAATAAATAGCCAATGCTTAACAACAGGTGAATCTTTGGTGAGGCTAATGATGAAAAGAGGCCCACTAATAAACAGTAGGAATTTAAAAGAGGCATAATCATAGATACAGAGATTACTTTTAAAATTTATTACATAATAACATATACAAAAATCAAGAAACTAGTATAATGAACTCCCATATTCCCAATGACCTAATTCAATTAGTACCAAATTTTTGCCAAATTTGCTTCATCTTTTCTCCCAAGTCCCACCCCCACAAGTATTTTAAGGCAAATTTCAAACATCATTTCATCTCACACCCTAAATACTTAATATATACAGGTTTTTTTTTTTTAATTGTAAGAGAATTCTAATAACACATTATACTCCTAGATCTAAAAATCAAGATAACATGGACAATTAAGCAAAATAAAAATGTCTAAACTGGCTCAGGAAGATGTAGAAATATCTGATCATTAACCAAAGAAGAGACTGGGATGATAATTAAAGCACTATTCACAAAAAATGGGGTCGGGGACCAGCCTAAATTGTTTTATAAGTAAATACAACCCAAAACATTAAAATACAGTTCTAACAAAATATTAAAATAGATAATTCCATGTTATATATGTTTTAAAAATTAGAAAACTACCAAACTCATTTTCCAAGGCTAACACAATCCTAAAAATCAAACCCAATCATCCAAAAATAAGCAAACAATACCCAATAAGACCCACATAGTACACAGCCTTGGATCCCTAGTGCCTAAAACTGAGCCCTAATGAATGTTTATACTTCACCCAGTTTTTCCTCTGCTATTTTAATATCTGTAAATTTTGCTCCCTTCCCATTCTGGAAAAGAGGTAATTATAGAATCTATAGAAGGTTCTAAATACTCACATGCTCTCCATTCATCAGGATGTTTAAAAGGAAATGCTAGACCATTATCAATTGCAGCTATTTTAATAAGCGATTCTTTATCATCGATCCTTTCTGATTCCTAAAGAGGAGAAAAATGATCTGCTGATAAAAGAACCTATATAAATATTTCTGAAGGAAAATTGCTTGCAATAATTATTGAGGTTTAAGGACATATTCTCTCTAAAAAGCCTATAAAAATTAAAAATAAGTTGCCAGAAAGAATACAAATCCACCTATGAAGGGAAAAGATTATCTTAAAAACCAATAAGAATTTTATAATCACTATTTTAAAATATGTAATATTATACAATTCCTCAATATTGGTTTCATTTTTTTTCCTCTTTGGAGGAGAGGACTTGAAAATATTAAGACTTTAAGAAGTGATGTTCAAGACAATTCATTGCTAGATGCATTGCTTAAATGTATGATATTTGCAAAATATTACTGATTTTTTTTTTAAGATAAACTAGCAAAATTACCTTAGTAAGATCTTGTCTTTCTTAGAGTCTCATAGCAATAATTAGGTCAAATAGAAGGTGTTTCTAAACAAAACTCACCCAAAGACCCTAACTAAATATAATAAGATCCAACAGAAGAAACCTCAAAATATTCTTGACTACAGAATGTAGGTCATTCCTAACTTGCATATTCTTCTGTAGCAGAAATGAAGACTTCAGAACAAGAAGGTTTTCAGGTTAAAGAGTTATTTGCTATTTAAAGATAGATGGCTGCCGTTACTAACTAGCCAAGATAAAATAAAAAGTGAAAAAGGCAATTTTAAATTAAAAGTACTACAGTGAAGGCTCATGCCATATATGCCAGGTTGGTTTCTTTTAGTTTATATCAATATCTCACCTCAATGAAAATGCACAAAATACTAAGAGCAAAAGAACGACATTTTTAGTAAAATGTAATTGCTCAAGATATGCCAAAAAAATAAATGTGGGAGCTGTTATAAATATGTATATTTACATGTGTATTTTAAACCCATTTCTGCTATGACTGCCATTTTTATTTCTTTCATTCTTTTCTATTTACAATTTTACTGAGGTATAATTTACACACAACAAACTTCATAAAAGAGGGGTCTTCAAAAAGTTCATGGAAAATTCATATTATCTTTTAATTCCATTTTTTCCACAAGCTTTTTCAAGTACCCTTATATTAAAGCGTACAATTTGATGAGCCTTGACAGATGTGAAACCTTCACTCAAAAAGTTTCCTCATGCACCTGTGTAGTCCATGCCTCCCTCCACACCAACCCCGGATGACAGAATTTGCATGTGTTCCCCCAAAGCTCATGTCAAAATCTGATCCCCAACTTGGCAATGTTGGGAGCAGTTTGGGTTATGGGGGTAGATCCCTCATGAATGGATTAATACCCTCCCTGCTGGTGGGGGGGGGGCTAGTGAGTGAGTTCTTGCTCTATTAGTTCCTGGTTGTTTAAAGTACCCTGGCACCTCCTCCCTCTCTCTTGCTTCCTCTTGCCATGTGATCTCCTTGTACCTATTGGCTGCCCTTCCATTTTCCATCATGAGTAGAAGCAGCCAGAGGCTCTTATCAGGTGCAGCTGTCCCAGAATGGTAAGCCAAATAAAACTTTTTTCTTTATAAATTACCCAGTGTCAGGTCTGTCACTAGAGACTAATTCGCGTTTTCTATTTTTACATAAATGGAATCACACAGTATGTTCCCTTTATGTATCCTTCCTTTCACTCAGCGTGGTTTTAACATTCATCCATGAGGACTTTCTGATCAAAATGGCAGAACAGACAGTACCCAGTGTCACCCGCTTCCACAATCAAACAATTTACAACTATTAAAAACCAACGAATGCAAAGCTGAGGCCAATAGAGCTCAAGGGAAGAGAAGGAGAGACCTATGGAGTACATGAAGGCAGGAGAACCCACGATGAGAGAAAGAAAGGATTGCACCAACCATTTCAAGCCCTGACCACTTCAAGGCTGGCCCTGGTGAGTACATGGAGCAAGAGCTTGCAAAAGCCACAGCTGTGCCCTTCATATGAACATGCTTGGAGGCTGCAGGGGAGAAGAGAGCCTTGGTGGCCCGCAGGCCAGCAAGACCACTAACAGGGTTCCCATTGACCCACATAGGAGCAAAGGGCCACAGACATCTGAAAAAAGGAGCCACTCAAGAGGCTGGTGAGTCGTCACAAGGGACCAGTGCATGGCCTGTCCCCTGGGAAGTGTTTGGAGTACAGGCAGTGTGGGAGACTGGCCCACTGGGGGAACTTTGGGGCACAGCATGGACAGACGACCTGCCCCCCAACCAGCGTAGAACCACTCAGTGGAGACTGGTCAGGAAGACAGAACTGCAGGGGGTGCAGTTTGCTGAAAAGACTCAGGCCCAGACAAGAGTTTCCACACAACCCAGGTATATCAGATTCCACAAGACCTGGAGGTATTTAAGAAGTCTATAATTAAAACCTGAGCTGCACAAAAAGCCTTCCCCAGATAATCAGCAGCAAAGCAGCAATTTAGCTCAACCACAGGGTTCAAGTGCTGGTCCCCACAGGAAGTTCCCCCATTTTAGAAGTAAGCAAAGGAAAACAAATAAGTTCCAGTGCAGAATTTAAGTAGTGGGGGCAGTTAATAATCCAACACAGAACTGAAAGAAAACACAAAACACCCACAGATCAGAGACAAAGTTCTGATATTAACCAGTGAAGGTCTAATATCACCAAAGAACACCTATAAAACCTAGAAGGACCGGAAGCCCCCAGGCTCCCAAGCTAGGATGGGAGGGAGGGCTGAAAGCCTCAGCTACCCAACCCTCCAATATGTCTGCATCCAACCCAGTGAGGACCACCCGCTGCTGTGGGAATCGCCCCAGGCTCCCAGGCTGGGGCAGTGCTGGGCTGAGGGACTCAACAATGCACCCTCAAAGTCCACATCCAGCCCAGCCATGACTGAGCCGCTGCCAGAATCCCTCCTGGGCTCCCCTGCCAGAATGAGGGGGATGCCACGACCACTACTCCCCCTTCTTCTCCCACCCTCTCCCCCTTCCCTCTTCTGTCTCTCCCTCCCCCTTAACTGCTCCACATCTTAGAATGTAAAATAATAATAATAAATTTTTTTTAAAAAGATTCATCCATGTCTGTGTATATCATTTGTCCTTTTTTATTGCTAAGTGCTATGAATATGTATTTTTAAATTTACTTGATAAACACCTAAAGTATAAACTTTTTAAAGTGATACAACAGCTTTAAGTGATAACTTGAAAACACAGAGATTATAAGCAGTGGAGAAATTATTTTTTTTAATCACTGAAAATTTTCTCAAATATATAGATTGTGTTAAACTTGTAAAACTATTCTAAAAATCTCTTATGTAAGTACCTAAAATTTGAAGTTGGATACTCAAAAGTTCATAACAATGAACCTAAAATCTATGCTTCTGATAGTGTTAAGGGCCTATGCAATCTATTACGTAGGTTAATCCAGTTTCTTCTAAGCAATAAAATTACTTTTTTTAAAGTTCAATGGAGATGATTCACAGGTAAAGCAACACATTCCATTTTATTAGGTAATATTGTATTATCTAATACTGAATCAAAAGAGTCAGAAGGACTTGAATTGGTAAACATAACACACATAAACATGTAAACATAACAACACGACATAAACATGTTGACAAAAAAAAATATCAGAAGCCTTTATTACATAAAAGCAAGAGAAATCTGGTAGTTCTACAAATTTCTCAAGCTCTAAAAATGTACTGAGCTAATATCATTCTCTAATACAAAATAAAAAATAAAGCTGCCCAGAAATGTTAAAAAATAGAAACAAGAAATGTAATGTAAACAAGTGATGGAAAGAAAAAGGATGAGAAAAACAGAAAGGGGATTAAAAATCAAGAATCTAAACAAAGGAAGGAGAAAATGGTGAAGAATAACTTCAAGGAATCTTTTACAGAAAATGAATATATATATATATATATACACACACATATATATATATATATTTTTTTTAATTTTAATTTTCCTTACCTTACAGTCAGTTTCCTCTACGGATTTCTGCTTTTCGTATTTGATTAACCAATTATCATTTCCCCTGTCTTTCAAGAAATAAACAAAAAAATCTGTTATTTCATTTTTATGGACATTATAGCTTAACTTGTCAGTGGAAAAAAATCTATTCACCTCCTTATTTTTGAGACCTTCATTGGTTATCAGTAGCATGTTTACATATTAAAGATTTCAATATAACACAAACTAAAAAACCCATAAACATTAGCTAACACTTAGTGAATGTTTTCTTCATACCAGACATTGTTGTAATTTGTTAATTTATTTAATCCTCCTATCTACCCTGTGAGGTAGGTACAATGATTAAATCAAAGTTACTGAAACCTAGGATTACTTCTCTTCACCTCAGGAAGAAAAAGCATCCCTACTGCTAGGCAAATTTTTAGGTAGGCTTACCTAATGTCAGTAAAGAAATACTCTAGACAGTATATTAATATTAATATTAACCTAAGACCATATTAATTAAGAAGGTAAACCTAGAAAATTATATAATATTTTTTCAGAAACTAATATAAACGAGAAGACATTTTTGAACCACAGGTTGTCAAACTTTTGAGTGCATCAGAATTACCTGGAGAAAACAGGGTAATTCTGGCCCCCCAAAACAGACAGGGGGCCCCACTTGCAGAGTTCCTGCTTCAATAGATCTGGGGAGATGTCTGAGAAGACGCATGTTTAGCAAGGTTCCCACGTAATGCTGACCCTCACGGTCCAGAGAACCACAACTGGAAATCAGTTGGATTATCTACATCATTGCTCCCTTATAGCACAGAAAAAATTTAAAGTTTAATGTATTTAGAGACTAACAGTTATGCAGTGTCAAAATAAGCACCTAAAATAATTTACACAATTAAGTTTTAATTATTCATATTATGCAGATAACATTTCTAATATCTGGCTTGGTCCTGCTGCTAGGAAATTCCTCCCAAGGGGATTAGGAACTGAACCCTATTGCTTGAGCAGGAGTCTGGAGTAAGTCAGAATCCCCACTACAGGATTAATTCTGCCCAGGAGAATCAGTACCACATCTCTGTTTTCTAAGGCAATTAGAGGAAGTGGCCTTGAGACTTCAGCATCGAAATTGTATGGCTTTGATTTGGATAACAAGAATACAGTTTAAAAGCTAACAAGATTTTAGTGAATAAATGAGAGAACTTCAATACCTGTATTTCTGATGATGTAATCCAAAATAACTAATCTTTCAAACTGTGACTGAAATTGTTTCCTAATATTCTCAGGCAAAGGGTCAGCTTCGAATTTCCTAAGCCAATATTCAGCTTCCTTGTAACCTTCAACAAATAACTGAAAGGAACCAATCTATAATTTTAAGAACCATAGTTAGAGAAGGAAGTACAAGAACAAAGGGATTAATTTTTAAACTTTTCAGCAGTACTGTCACAAAATGTTATCTAAACACAATAAGAAAAATAGAAGAGTTAACACTAATTTAGATAAGTCACATTTATCAAGAACACTATTTTTATACCCTAATTTTACATAATCACATGAAGAATACATAGCAGATAAAAAATGCCCAACCCTAGACTTTCAAGAAGTACAGTAGCTATTTTAGGACAATTAAAAAAGAAAATAAACATGTGCCCTGGAGAATGCCACTTTCCAAAGATATACATTAAAATGAATTTAATTAGGGAGGCTAAACTTTATACTGATCCTGCTTATTCAATAACAGGGCAATTTTAACTTACTGAAGAAACATTTCAGGATTCCTTTTACAACATAAAATACAGAAAACAATTATATTTGAAAAATAGGATTCTTTGACCAAGCAGATTACAGATCCTGCCATATAATTTAAAGAATTAATCAATTAACTACAACCTCCAGTGTTTTTTTAAGTCCTTTCCTTAAAGATATGTCCATTTTAAAAGGCATTTTTATTATTAAAATTACTAGTTAACATTAAGCAATTTATACCTAACCCTAAACAACATATGACACACAGGGTAACCTAACCTGCCTCATAAATGCAAATAAACAAATCACTGAAAGAAAATCTATATTTTATCCAACACTTTATGTTCTTGTTGTTGGCATGAAATTTTATCAATTTCCTAAAGGCTTTCTTTAAAGCACTTATAATTAGGTACTAGTAGACATAAATACGGAAATACTATCTTCCTTTAGTCACATTTATCTCATCATATCCAAGGACGAGCAGGCCTTGTAAAAACTTTCAAACTTCCTGTCTACTTGAAGTATAACTTTTTTTTAGAAGTTAGGTTAACTATGATTTTCTACTCAAATTATTTTATCTAGAAAAATGTAGAACAACAATAAAACAATAAAATCATAGGCTAAATATATTTTAAAAAAATAAAACCTAGAGCTTTTTCTAGAATGCATTTCCCATTAACTTTCTCTACCTTTGCTTAACTATCAGCTAACCATCCCTCAGGTTTTTTTAAAAGTGCTAAGAAAAAACAAAATCTAACATATAGTAAGTAAACATAGCTACTACCATTTACTGAAACATTACTATGTACCAAATACTTGACAGGCATTTCTTAATTTTATCCTCACAACAACCTAAGAGGTAGCTTTTATAATCCCCATTTTACAGAAACTAGGGCTTAGAGTGTAAGGAACTTGCCCAAAGTCTAAGAGGTAACTAGTGGAGAGGCTGGAATTAGAACCTAGATCTGTTTCTAGACCTCTGCTTTGGGCCATTACTTTATAAAGGCATCAATGTAACTTCTTTTTGGAAACATTCCCCACCCCTCCAAACTGGGTTAGGCATCCTTCTATCCTCTCAGAGCTCCCTGAAGTTATCATCATAACAGCTTTATATTTGCACTGAAATTGCTTGTTTACTATAAGCTCCTTGAAGACGAACAACTGTTTTTGTTACCATTATATCCAAACTGAGGGGTTAAATGCCTAACTTGTGGGGCTCAGGATACATGTGCCCAATTGCCCCCCAAGTAAAGCTTATCAGTCATTTACCTTAGGAGGGAGTCCTATCCGATGAAATTTTCTACCTACTTTTGGCACTTTTTCTAAAGCATACTTTTTGCCTCTTGATTTTGCACGGTCAATTGCAGTGTAGTTAAATGTCTCACTGACAAGACAAACCACCTAGAAACATATAGTTCAGAAAAATGGTTACAACTGGTGTTATAGTATCTTTATTCATATACACTATGAAACTCACTTTAATGACAGAAATTAGCAAAGTTTAACACTATAATAAATGCCCCAGGGAATCTAAAATAGTAATAAGGCCAGGCGATTTTGCAAAGCCCTATTAAATAGCGTGTATTTCTTTCTGAGAGAGGTATAAAAGCAGCAAAAAATTTGCCAGTGGAAGACAGAAAGAAGGGTATTGAAAGGTAGACTTAGGAATGAACATTTTGAGAAGACTCAAGTAAATATTTATAAAGGCCAAAAAGAAAATACTAGTCTTTGAAACACATCAGTCATTTCTTCTTTCGACAGGATCTCTAGATCCCTGATCTTTTTCTGCTTTCAAAATGCTAGTTCTTTCTCCTCTTTTTGTTAACATCATCAGACATTGCAGGAACAAGAGACATTCCCTTGGATACCCTGGATACTAAACTAGTCAATTTACTGGTCACTCATGACTCTTGGATTAACAAAAAAGGGTATTCACAGATAAGCAGGCTGTAAATTAGAAGTACATGATTAGAAACAAATTCTCCTTTACCTTTGTTTTAGGTACAATGCCCAGATGAAGCTTTTCATCCACAAGGAAGGCACCAGCTTCAGAAAGGTATCCCTGATTCAGAAGCAGGCAGCCTCTGCCAAAGCAGCAAGGGCAGCAGACCTTATGAACAAATTTGGTCCACTTTGGATTCAGGTGACCGTAAGGCTCTTCTGATTTGGGTTTAAACACACCAATAATTTTCTATGGAGAAAAAAAAGTAGAAATCTTATTAGGCTTTTAATATATATAAACAACAATCCATAAAATGAATTCTGATAAATCATTTTCTACTGCTTCCCACTGCAGATTTGGGCACAGCCCTCAAGTATTAAGAGATTTAGTTCCAATCACATTTTTACATTCATTCTCATTCAACAATCTAAAATCAGTAGTCCTCTGGACCAGTAGTTTTTAAACTGTGCTCTGAAAAACCCTAGGAATGAGAGGGCAAGTCTCCAAGACCCCATGCCATTTAACCAGATTGACTCTGATTTTACCTGTTTTACATTACTGAACTTCCGAGTTAAGAAAGGGTTCCACTGATTTTTAAATGTTTGAAAACCACCATTCTAGGTCAAGCAGTGTTATGATTCAATATCTATTTATATATCCAAATTCTATGTTTGTTTATTGTCTATAATGTACATCCTAAAAAGGCAGGGACTTTGTCTGTTAGGGCTACATCTCCAGTACTTAGAACAGTACCTGATACACAGGCATTCAAGTATTTGTTAAATAAACTAATAAACCCAATGACAAAAAAACCCAGTTCTATAAGAACTGTTCAATAAGAACTGGGTGCAATCAGATTTACAGGAACATATCCTCAGAAACTCACAATGAATTCACATTTGAATTACTATTTTCCAAAATTTCTGCTATATATAGAAGGTCTTTGAAATTCTCACAATGAATTCACATTTGAATTACTATTTTCCAAAATTTCTGCTATATATAGAAGGTCTTTGAAATTCTCACCCTCTTAGGATCCTTCACAAAGTAACTTCCACTTGAACCTTGAGAGATTCTTTCTGGAAAAACTCCAAATTCTATTGCATGCTCTGCTCTCAATATAATATCAGCAAATTCTGGGTCATCCGAGAATGCATTCATCGCTGAAGAACAAGCAGTTACTACATTAAGAAGAAAGACCACCTGTAAGAATGCTGACAGTACAGACCTGTAATAGTGGATTAAGTGATTGGCATTAGGACATTAAGGTACAGAAAAATATAATCAAGTATTATATGGACTGCTTTGATTCTCCTCTGCCCGCCCCACAATCCCACTTCTCTTTAAGTTCCAAATAATGACACATGGAAAAAAAGTTCACTAATTGTTGAAATAATCACATGAATACCTCTCATTTCTTTGAACGTCTCTCCTCCAGTGATTCTGTCCTCCATCCTACTTCAACCTCTAATTCTATAGTCATATCTCGGATACTGTCATTACCGATAACTCCAACCTCTGCATACTTTCAATTTCAAGTACCTCCCATCTTACCAGTTCAATCCCTCTGACACCCTGAGCCCCAAAATTCTTCCACTACAAAGCACTGATCTACCACATCATCACTGGTCTTCACCCTCTTCGTGTCCTTACTTCTCTCCTTAGCCACTTTAAATTATGGTCAATCATCATACAATCACTCTTCCTCCCTCCCTTCATCATGGTTACCTGGAAAAAATCCCAGTCCTGGTTAAACCCATCTGTCTGCCAACTCTATGCCTACTCCAGGACAGCTGAACTTGACCATAAAAATGCACACAAAGCAATTCCTCTCCTCAAATTCCCAACACCCCCTCTCCATCCTCTCTTTTGGCAGATGATCCATCTTCCTATTTCACTAAGAAAAGAGAAGCTATCAGGAAAAACTATCACCAGCCCCTAGCACCATATCTACACACCCCCTACTTAACTTTGGAATGCCTGAGGTTCGGTCTGAGGTCCTCTCCTCTCCTTTTCAAGCCTAGGCTTCAGTGTGAACTCCAAACTACTGTACTCAACATCTCTGCTTGGATATTTAATAGACAGCTCAAACTTTACTACCCAAACTCAATTCCTCACCTTTACCACCCCTCCTGAAGGCGTCACCCCACTTTCCCTATTTCAGTTGCTGACAACTCCAAGTCTTCCTGTTGCTCAGGCCAAAACCTTGGAATCAACTATGATGTCACACTCTCACTCTCCACATCCAGTCTACCAGCAAGTTGTGTTGGCTCTGCCTTATATATATATATCTAACCACCTTTTATCACCTCCATTCCCTCCTTGTGATTCGGTCACTATCAACGCTCACCTACATGATTACAAAAGCCTCTAATGGCTCTCCCTCTCTCACCCATGCCTTCTCTATACTTGACAGAGAAGCTATAGTAATCCTCTTAAAACATAAGTCAGAATCATGTCACTCCTTTGTGCCAAACAGCCCAATGATCTCCCATCTCACTCAAAGAAAAGTCCAAGTCCTTACTATGGCCCCCAAGACCATGCTGTATCCCCAGAACTTTCACAGTTCCTGGAACATAATAAGCACTCAATAAACACGTGCCAAATGAATTAATAATTAATCATTTAAAGTGGCAGAGAATGCAAAGCTATTCATATTGTACTGTATCCCCAGAACTTTCACAGTTCCTGGAACATAATAAGCACTCAATAAACACTTGCCAAATGAATTAATAATTAATCATTTAAAGTGGCAGAGAATGCAAAGCTATTCATATTGTAATATAGAAGGTATTTCAATGCTATACATGCATTGTTATGAAAGTTCAAAACATAATCAACTTTCCTTAATTTAAAATTTGCCTTAAGTCAGACAGAAATAAAACTGTTATTTACTAATTTTTACAAGTTTGTACTGAGAAAAGTACTATAAAAAAGGGCTATTGGGCATATTCAACCCACTTAAAAGAATAAATAATCCAAATATTTTAGTCATGTTTAAACAATTGATATGCTGATTCCAAATCATTCTTACCTATGCCTTGAAAATCCTTAAGATTAGGGAAATATTGGTAAAAAGTTTACATTGTGTAATGATAAAATAAAAAAAGATTTTTAAAAAATTTTAAAAAGGCAATCTCTCACCATACACAAAAATCAACTCAAAATGGATTAAAGACCTAAATTTGCAGTGGGGGGACAGGCGGGGTGGCTGGCCTGCACAGGGATCAAACCCTGGACTTTGGGATTATCAGCACCATGCTCTAACCCACAAAACTAACCAGGCAGCCTAAAGACCTAAACTTAAGACCTGAAACTATGAAACTACTGGAAGAAAACACAGGGGAAATGCTACATGAAATAGAAGTGGGAGCGCTTTTTTGAGCAAGACCATGAAGGAACAGACAACAAAAGCAAAAATATACAAATGGGACTACTTCAAACTAAAAAGCTTCTGCACAGCAAATGGACACAATCAACAGAGTGAAGAGATTTTGATGACTTATGGAATGGTAGAAAGTGTTTCCAAACTACACATCAGACAAGGATTTAATATTCAGAATATATAAAGAACTAAAACAACTCAATAGCAAAAAAACAAATAACCCAATCAGAAAATGGGCAAAGGTGGGCTGGCCCGGTGGCGCACTGGAGAGTGCGCCGCTGGGGAGCGCGGCGGCACTCACGCTGAGGGTTCGGATCCCATGTGGAGACCGGTTCCCGCTCACTGGCTGAGTGCAGTGCGGGCGCAACACCGAGGGTTGCGATCCCGTTGCCAGTCAGTAAAAAAGACAAAAAGGAAAAAAAAAAAGAAAGAAAGAAAACGGGCAAAGGGACTGCCCCGCTCTGGAGCCTGGGCTGCTTCCAGTCCTCCTACGTTTTATAGGTGTTCTTTGGTGGCGTTAGACCTTTACTAGTTAACGTCAGAACTTTGTCTCTGATCCGAGGGTTTTTTGTTTTTTCTTTCAGTTCTGTGTTGGATTATTTACTATTTCCACCACTTAAACTCTGCACTGGAACAAATTTGTTGTCCTTTTGTTACTTCTAAAATGGGGAGAGGGAAGATGGCGACGGGTCTGGAGCAGGGGCGCCAGAAGACAGCGTGAGCCTGAGAGGTGTGCGCTGTGCTGCCAGAGTGCTATTTGCATTTCCAAGAGCAACAAAAAAAAAATAAGTCTTTGATCAACTAATCTACAACTATAAAAAAGCAACTACAGATTCAAGGTTTACGGCCGACATTAAAGAAGATTCCTGGGAGCGCCCGAACCACGCCGCGGGACCAAGTGAGCAGCCTGAGGGAACGACGGGTAGGAAGACACGGAAAAGGAGAGGGAGCTGCTCGGCCGGCCCAGCTCTGTGAGTGACCCCCAGCCTGGCCCTGCTTGCGGGCCAGACGCCCACCTGGCATCTGCCTGCCCCACTAGGCCAGTCACTGGCCCGGGGCTGCCTCCATTTTCTCGGATCGGGGAGGAGCCGGCTGGCTCGGCCAGGCCTGCCCTCCTCGCCTGGCTCAGCTCCTCACTGAGCCATCCCACTTCCTTGCCCCAGCGCGGGGCCTCTCAGGGTCTGCGGGCCGGCCTCACATCCCACTTCCCCCGCGGTTCTCTGGTGGGACTAGTGGCATGGGGAGCCCCTGGCCAGCGGCCGGAAGACAGGGAAGAACGGGCCAGGCCAATTGTCACTCCACCGCACCCTGGGCTCCGGCCCCCGATAAACTTCCTGTTACCGGGAGGCAGATACCATCTCTGCGGCCATCAGTTTGGAAAAATGCCTAACCAATTTAT